CCTTGCTGCATCAATTCATACAACAATATGACAACTTACATGATACAGGAAAGATGATACATTGTAACATTTGCATAATGTAAACAAAATCCACACAGAGCTTATTTGTCAACAGTCTGCATACACAACAAGCCAGTTCCAATAACATCATAGACCCCAAAAGCATAACAAAGATACAGTACAAGCTGCCCTCAAATGGACATCAGAGCAAACATGCCTGGACAGAGGGGACACAGATCACCATGGCATGGCAGCCAGGCTGGAAGCAGAGTGACATTTGCAGTGCTGTCCCCCATCTCCAGGCTCTGTACAGGAATGTGTCACTCTCTGGTCACAACAGCCCTTACCTGGGACTCCATACTGCCTGACGTGCTGCTGGGGACAGCCTGAGACAGCAGGACGGACATACTCATGTGCCGATCCCTTGTCCCCAATCCTTCCTGTACGTGCAGCAACACAACAGCAAACACAGCCCCTGCAGCTGTGCACAGGCAACCGAGGCCACCTAACTTGTACTTGCACTGAGCTAGGCATACACGGCCACGCCTACATCTGTCCAGACGGAGGAGCCGATTGGACGGTAGCGAGGGGCTGTAGTTTAAAGCTAACAAAGAAACAGACACTGATTGAGCGGTGCCGGCACAGGAAGCCGCAGCTGATTGGAGGACGCTTGTCTGACTCTGGCGGCCATATTGAGTGGGGCACCTCAGATAAATAACGTGCTGGATTTGTCTTATCCTAGTTGAATATAATACTTTATTGCTGTCTGGAGTGTATTCCTACTACAGCTACTGCTTGTGTTGTATTTTAAGTCATAATTGAATGCATGTTTCTAACAGTCAGAACATACTTTTTCACTTATTATGGGCTGTAATATAGTATATTATTATTTTTCAATAAATTAGACTAAAGTGTATCTAAAGCCAAAGCTTTTTCATTTTGTATTGAGTAGGGAGTGTTTAACCTCTTGCTCCCACCTCTCGCTTGCCCTTTAACTGGACCCTAACATGGGCAGGCACAGTTCTGACCACTGTAATTGGCTTTCACAGCAGTCACATGATCAGGAATCCGTCCTGTGCAGAGCTGTCAGTGACAACTCAGTCAGTGTGCTTGGACCTTGGAGTAAGGTGCCTTTCAACACACAACAGCAGAGTCCAGTGGATGCATATATGCTACATATGAAATAACTTGTAATTAAATTGCACACAAAAGCATCCAAAGACTCTTAAAGGCAACGTGGTTCGTAACATGGGGGAATGTAGTGACTTAGAAACCACAGATACAAGTAATCTAATGCAAGATTGTGTGCAATGTATAACCGTGCAAACATTTATCACAGATGGTCCCCTATGTGTCCAACCCAATTTTCTTGGACAGTAAAGGGTCTATTCACTAAAGATTGAAGAGTTTGGAGAAGTGAACAATCTAGGACAACATAACTGAACTGGAAAGAGTTGGAGAATGTTTCCAAATCAGCTATTATGCCCGAGGTTGTTCACTTCTCCTGCCTTCTCCAAACTCTTCACCCTTTTGTGAATAGACCCCTAAATAAGGTGAATGAAACTGACAATTTTTGATAGTTAAAGATGGCAATAATAAGGTGACATATACTGGAGAGCTTCATCAGCTATGACTCACAATGTGATTTAAAAGTCGATCGGAGCTCACACTACAAAATTGTGAATATATAGGTGATTGTACAATCAAATTGTAATGTGTTCAGATTCAAATGTGCATGAGTTTCAACAGATCTGGTGCAAATGTTTGTAAAACTGTAACAATCAGCTATCCAAGAATGCATGAGTGGCAAATACACACATATCTCATTGGAAATCCATTGGTAAATAAGACAAAGAATGACCTGTACTATATAGACACCTGAATCTATCAGTGACTTGCTCTATAAATCCCCTCTATGGGGTCATTGGTGCTCAATGGGGTAAATAGCGGACATTGGTGCTCAGTGGGAGGAAAGAGGGACATTGGTGTTCAGTGGGGGGAAAGTGGGGACATTGGTGTTCAGTGGGGGGAAAGTGGGGACATTGGTGTTCAGTGGGGGGAAAGTGGGGACAATGGTGCTCAGTGGGCGGAAAGAGGGGACATTGTGGCTCAATGAGGGCAAAGAGGGGACATTGGTGCTCAGTGAGGGCAAAGAGGGGACAATGGTGCTCAGTGAGGGCAAAGAGGGGACATTGGTGTTCAGTGGGGGTAGAGGGGGCATTGGTGCTCAGTGAGGGGAAAGAGGGGACCTTGGTTCTCAGTGGGGGGGGGGGGG